AATGCAACACAAATACTAATATCAAATAAGAGACAGTATAAAAGTTATTCCCACGATTTTTCTAAAATCACAATTGAAAGAAATATTACTTGTTAAAATCAAATCCTCATATTCTCTTTCACTAAAACTGCATCTGTGCTCACGCATACGAAATTCTTTTACGCAGTCATAAAAATGATGCAAGGTGCAATGTCTAACTTACGCGTTATCGATAAGGATCGAACAAAAGTTCAGTGCTATTCGATAGTAATCGCGATACACGGGTATCATAGTGCGTCGCTTATTATGCACCACGCCTGCGTTTATTACTTATTGTCGGATGAGAGTATCTCGCAAAGCGCAACGACGTTGCACAGTTCGAGAGACTATCTCACGCGACAAAACGCTTTGTCTCCGTCCACTTATCTCGATCGTCTTCGCTCGCAGGAGTGTACGCCTCCAGCGAGTAATTGCGTCGGCAATTCAATCGTCACGAAATTATCGCGTCATTACTCGCGCGAGCCGTCCCGCGAGCTAGTAATGGCTCGTCAATCGCGATATAACTCGTGCATCGTCAATCTAGATCGATAACTCTCCAAAATCTCCAACTTTGCTCTTCCCTATTAATACACTGAGAAAAGAAGTTGTCGATTTAAAAACATATTAGTCGATTCAATTAAATGCGGCGAGCAAATATTTGTTCGTTCAAACAAATAACATGTTTTAAATTACAAGATTTTGTTGACATGATTCACATATATTTAATCAAAATATGTAAATACTTGAATTTAAATGAGAAATTAAATAATCACTACGAGCTAAACGCATTTAGTCCAGTTAACAACTTTTTTCTCAGTATATGTATTTTCCAATTTATCTTAGTACATAATTGATATAATTGTATTTGTATATAAAAATTAAAGTCAACATAAAATTTTTTCTTATAAAAGAAATTAGTTTTCTTTGAAAATATCATTGAATTTAAAAACTATGCATTGTTAACAAAATTACTCAATTTACTTAATTTCCACAGAGTATCACATGGAATTATTTAACGTAAAGAAAGTCACGCGATTTATAATTCTAATTGTACTAACGACTTCCAATTAAGTTACTGCGATGCAACATTTCCTTACAATGGTTGGAACAATGAAGCTTTCTTTGTAAAAAGTCACTTTAACGATTGATTAAGTAAACGCAATACGAAGAATACTGTGAGAATAGTATAAAATTTCGATCACTTATAATTAATCATTGTCCACATATTACAAATAATTTGTCATACTACCTTATTGTAACCACAATTACTCATAATTGATTAAATAATTACAGAGCAGAGTCTCCTTGCGATCGCTCGAACAATGAAACTTTCTCTGTAAAAGCGATTCTAATGGGTGATTAAGTAGCCAGAATAGGAAGGCATAATGGTATAAAATTGTACAAAATAAGACTTTAATTAATTATTGCCTATTACGGATCTACAGTGAGATTAGTACATGGTAGATAGATGATACGTCATGTAACCATTAAATATAAACATTATACTATAATATATCGTGTATGCATATGTATACATATAAATATATATATACACGCGATAAAATATGCATTTTACTTTATAGTAATTCCGTATATATAATTGCAATGCTTTCCACGGAATTTATCTCGCGCGTCTTTCACTGCTCGAAATTATCCACTAGCATGAATATCATCTTGAATATCTATTTCAAGTCGAAGTCTAACATTAACATATCGCGTGCCGTGTTTCCTTATCAGTGTCGTTGGATAAGGAAACTCGCCAATGAGTCATCTTTGTAATGCAACAGATGCATCAGTTATTTATGTTCTGCAGTTTAAATGCTCCATTTTCTCGTTTAAATAGCCTAACTACCTAATTATAGGGTGTGTCGCAAGGAATTTTATGTATACAATTCTAGTCACGATAATATTAATATATAATCGATCCTTTTACAGATATGTTTACATGTACAATTATTTTATGTATTATATTATATATAATGTCACAGAGAGACATGATATAATCTTTTTCTAGAAATTTGAAGTGTCAACATTTATATATTACGCAAAACAATCTATTTAATAAATACTTAAAGATTCAAAGATCAGTAAAGTCGAAAATCTTTTTATCCAAAGTTTATGTTTTCCCACTTTTTAAATCTTTCAAAAATTTTAATTATGTACACATACATAATAAATATATAAATCGAACCAAATTATAAATTTAATGTAAATTAAATTTAACAATCACGTATAATCAACTGTTATCTATCGAAATATAAAAGATTGATACTACACAGAAAGAAAAATGTTTGGTATTTGTAACTATAATTATATATTACTATAATTATGATTATCACTGCTATAATAATAATAATAACAGTAACTATATATATATAGTTCCAGCAACAAATGTATATAATTGGCAACCTAAAATGACTATAATTATAGTTGTTATAATCATAAAATAGTTGAAATTACCATAAAAACCATAAAAATATGGTTATCCCAAAATATAACTATAAAATTATAGTCACTTGAACCATTTTTATGGTAATTTCAACTATTTTATGGTTATAACAACTATAATTATAGTCATTTTAGGTTGCCAATTATATACATTTGTTGCTGGAACTATATATATAGTTACTGTTATTATTATTACAGCAGTGATAATCATAATTATAGTAATATATAATTATAGTTACAAATACCAAACATTTTTCTCTCTGTGTACAATATTTTGTCTCACATAATGAATCTTTCATCGTGCAAAGAAAACAGCACAGAATACGCCGATCATAAATGCACCTGCTTATTAATTCAAGTCGAGCGTTTCGCCTTTAACGTCAATCGAGATGACGTACCTCGATTTCCTTCGATCCGCGAGTCGATCGTTCAATACCTACTGTCTATCGCGTTCTCGGTAAGCATTGTAAAAGCACGAGTTGTAATGACATGTACATGGCGTAATTTATAAAAGCGCATACTGAAGACGATTCGGAGCTACTTACGCTTGCCTGACGAATCCAGGGGAGGAAGTTCTTCCCAAATCACCACCACCGAATCACCACAAGCGCGGCGTGTCCCGATCGCCCGCGCACCGGTCAATCCGTTTCACGGCAGAGCGCGGCGGATCCTTCACTCATCGAACGGAAAATCGAACGACGTCCGTCAAAGCTGATGGATTTCCCGGCGACATACGCGATTAGGCGCGCTCCCGCGCCGGGGAATGCGTCGTCAGGGGAAGCGCGCCGAAAGGGAGAGAGAAAGGGAGGAAGATATCAAAGATTCGGAACGATCATGGAGCCATGCAGACGGAGAGGAGTCTTCGTCGTTTCTTATCGCTCTTCTCGTCGGAGCGGTTTCGCGATGTCGTTTCGTCGCTGCTGCCCGTCGTCAAGCGGTTCAAAGCGCGGTGCCGTCTCACGGTACGTCTCACGGGGTACGCGCGAACCCCATACTCGCACTCGAGTCGCGTCCCAGTCAGAGACTGAGGCGCCTAGAGACAGGCCGCCCGTATAAATGCGCCGCAGTGCAAACGGTCGAAGCACCGCGGGTGGAAAGGGGAATCGGAGTCGATCCGCAGCGCACCGCGAGGGGTCGCTACAGATTAGAGAATGCACGCTGTCGCGATATTGTCGATACGTAAACATAAACATTGTACCTCCCTCGATCGCGGGTACGTCAATAAACGTTATCTTTTTTCCCAATAAATTTTAGATTATTTTTATTTTTCGTAAAACCTGTTGACTTTTTACGTAAAAATTTAAAATTTAATAATAAATATCTTATTTTCCTTTTGTTAGAGATATAGTCTCTCTTCTTGCATTTTCTATCTTTTCTATAATGATCTTTTTTAATCAAAATGCACTTGTTTATATATTGCATCATTGATTACCGACTAAAATTTTCATCTTAATGTAACCGTCGATAAATACGTGTTTGTAGAATACCATCACGCAACTTAATCGACTTCGGGTAACAATGTTTTATGTTATATATAATTACATATTATATATATTATATATATATATATTTGTATAAGCGTTTCATGCTTTGAGGGAATCTTTGTGCGAGATAATGACTAACCAGCTGATAAAAATTAATTATATATACGATAAAATAATTAAAATACATTGTTGATACTTAATGTAAATACGCGCTGCGAGTATAAAGTGTAATTAACAAATTTAATTATGATAATAATAATGATAAACAATAGCTAAAAAATTAAATAAAAATCAGACTTTCAAATGCAAAGTATATTTAGTGTAATACTAATTTCCCCTACAGAGCACAAAGTTGCACAAAAGTTACAGCAACACTATTGCAACATTGCAGCAACATGTTGCGGCAATATTGTAGAGATTTTACAGCGATATTGCTACAAATTCTTTAAAAGCGCTATTATACTAGGGCTCTTAAAATTCAAAGAAAAACCTTATAATTAAATCATGATAATCGGGCTATCAGAGCAAACAATACAACGCGGTAATTAGTGCGCAATAAATATCATATAGATATTACTTTTTTATTAAAATAAGTTACATTGGATTTATAATATTGGATATATTAAAATAATTTACATTGGATGTTTTTAAATACAAACTGTCGATATGTGTATGACGTCAAATTTTCTAATGACGTATCATGAAAAATATTTTATATAATAGTATATGTTTTCATATAATATTCTTCACATATAGAAAATTTATGTGTGAATAAAATTGCTTTTCTTGTGCTTCTTTTGAACTCTACAATAACAAACGTATTTCCTTGATCAGCAGGTGCGATTGCATGGGAAGGGAGATGTTTATGGTGAATTACTATGGAAACCCATGTGTAAAACTTTAGTCTTCAATGAACTAGCTCTCTACGCGCGAAGACAACGTGTCTATTATAAATAAGCTCTTAGGTTAAATTAGTTTATTAAAACAATTAATTATATATAATAAGTTTCCCGGAGGAAAATAATATCGCAGCTGTGTGTGTATTGTACAATGAACGGAGTTATGAGAAAATTCTTGGATGAAATTACTAAGGAATGGCAATTAGCACAATCAATTACGAATTGTCATGAGAAAGATAAGAAAGAAAAGCAAATTTCGTGTGGAAAAGCGCGCTCTGCTGAAAGCATAAAGTACAGGAAATCCCTGTTGAAGCTAAAAGAGCAAGAGTACTTGATAGAAAAGAATCTCATTAACATGATGGAGAACATGAAACTGGAACCAGAAGTTCTACGACCCGTTTTGCGTAATATGAATGACATCTCAAGAAACAGGTAGGCAGCGAAAAACGAATCGGTCGATTTTAGATTGCGTTATGCATATCAAGTCCGCATCGTTCTGCAGCGGTTTAACTTCGATATGTCTTTCTTAAAGGGAAATTTTTCTGGACAGCATGAGAAAATCCTTGGATAAAATTACTGAGGAATTGCAATTAATACAATCAGTCGCGAATTGTCCCGAGCAGATCCAGAAGTTAGGTGAATCTTGGCATAATTCAGTTGATTTTCCATTGATAATGCTATATTTTCGTTTCTTGCTTGTGTTATTCCCAAATTATTTTTGTATTTCATATAACATTTTTACATATTATTTCTAATTAAACATGCTACAGTTTCTATGTTTAAAATTCAATTAAAAGGAAAGAGATTAAAATTTTAATCCAAATGCGTCTTATTGAAGAGATATAAATTCAACATTATAAAAAATGAACATTTATTTAGATACGAATGTATACAAACAACGGCTCCTGAAATTGTCGCAAAACATTCGGAACTTTCAGGAATCCTGGCAACAGAAAATTGCGATTTTGTCGCAGGAGCAAACCGTTCTCGAATCTGAATTACGTAAATTTGAATCAAATTTGTATAAGTATGAGAATGTAACCAGCAGAATCGGCAAACAGACATCCGCCATGTCTTCTATCAAGAAAAATAAAAGGTGTTACGATTATAAGGAAATCAAGGACCTCCACGAGTTGATTGCTAAAACAGGTACTGAATACATTTGCATTTATCTGCGTTAGCAATTAAAATGCGCAGTAAAATATAATTTATAACAGTTGCATGTGTTACTTTATAACACGTAATATACTTCTTGTATTAAATGTCACCTAATGTCTATATTAGTCCATTCAAGTAACGATACAATAAATCCATACTCTATTCTCAATTTTTATACACATTTTATGATTATTATAATACTAATAAATACATTCCATCAATTGCTGTACAGATATTTACAAAAGCTATTTAAAAAATTAGTAATGCAGAGCATATTAAAAATCACGTATTATAGGCTACACTGATAATTGGAGCAATGAAGACCACCTGTTGTTTTTGAAAATGCGGAAGAAGTGCAATAGTATCCCTGCTCTAGTGGCTGCTATTCGAGTCAAATGCCCGGATCTAACAGCGGAAACTATAGTGAATCATGAGGCATGGTATAAAATTTATCTGAACCTGCGTGAAAAGCAACAATCGAGCATCAGAGAGTGGCGCAAACAAAAAGAAATGGAGAAGATGAAGATGAAAAATCGTGAGGATGAAACCGAGGCTGAAACCTTGAAAGAAATTTCACGAGAGAAAAGCAATTCCAATATCACAAAAGATCTTTCGATTTGCGTGACGGATAAAAGGAGAACAACAAAAACTGACAGTTCCGTTGATATCAATAATCAGAAAAAGGAATTAATAAAACAGTGGAAAGCGGAGAAAGAGAATAAACGTTTGATGGAAGAGGAGCAGTCGAGGATTCTGATTGAGTCGAAGCTTGCCGCGCAAGAAAAACATAAAAGAGAAAGATTGGAAAGACTTCGGACAGTTTTGGCAGAGCATCGTGAAAAAAAATCGATGGAAATTTCCTCCGAAGTCTCGAAAGATGATTCGAGATCCCACTACAATCCAATGTTGATTAAGGCCTTTAGGTAACGTCAATTGTTTTTAAAGTTAAACAAATAAGAATTAAACAATAATACGCTAAATAATAAAATAATGATAAAAGTACGAGATTTTTTACTAAATTTTATCTACAACTTATCTTATACTTACTTATCGTAATAAAAAAATTGTAATAAGTGATAAACTTAAATAATCTATTATAAATGTGGCTTATGTGAAATCGTAGAAATAATTATAAAGTTGTGGATTTTAATATAATTAATAGGAAGCAAGATACAGAGTTTACAAGAAAAAAGAAAAACTTGATAGCTGTACGAAAATTGGCTCAAAATCGAACAGTAAAAATCGTAAGATCACAAATAGCGAAAAAGCAAGATCACTCGACCCTATTGAATCCAACTGAAGTATGGAAAGAAAAATGTAGAATACCCGATCCTAACACGAGAGAATCGAAAAAGCTGCAATATATTAAAGACGTTCCACGTTTGTACGTTTTTTTAAGAGAAGGAATGCTTATTTTTAATGCACATTTAATTTATATTTAATATTTTGTCTTTTCATTGTCAGATATGTTCAATGGAGAAACAAGGAATCGATGGAGATCAAGGATGCTCTGACATTTTTATAAAATCGGAGATCTATTCCCTTCAACCAAAGTTCATTTTCAACTTGATGAAGAAGGCAATAAAAAAATGTACAAAACGTTGACATATATTTATGTTTATTTTTCTTTACGAACGTACCTTTTTGTTTCTTTCAGACGATGAACATAATAAGTTATAAGTAAACGAGTGTTGAATTTATCCAGGACCGTCGTTCGCGCAATATTCGGTTTTATTATTATAACTTTCTCTTTGTCCGTTCCGTTGTTTTAATCTTATTTTCAGGAACATAAAAGAGAAAGAGGGGGAGAGGATTATCATCGACATAGTCTCGAATAACTTCAACCCTCGACAGCTTTTTACTCAAATATATATAATATACTTTCTATCAATCTTTTTCTGTTCGTTAATTCGAGATATTCTTTCGTTTAGATTACCAAATACAAAAACACATAAGTGATACAATATATGTATAATATATATATATATAATGCTATGATACAAAAGAATGTCTCATATCGCGCCGAATGTGATTGACCGACAATTCGACGGTTCGCCCGCATCACCTACTTTTAAATTTTTCTTTAATAATTATCACTATTATTAATTACTATATTTGTTTATGCGGGATAATCCTACACGGCACGATATGATGGCACCTCTCACTCTTTGTGAGAATACGCGCAGATAACGTACTCTAAAACGTACTCTATTTTTTTATCTCTCGCTTTTAGACAATATTTGTAATTATATTTATATTCTTGTTTTTATTTATATATATATGTATAGAAATATAATTTAGAATTTATAATACATACTTAGGAGTTTGTTTTATTACAATGAACGCGATAAATCATGTTTAACATACACTCTATTCCACTCACGCTCTCTCGATTGACACACATGTCACTGCAACAGCTGCCACAAATTATTTTTTATCACTAACCTCTTCAAAACCCGAAAGATAAATATATGTGTGAACATCATTTGTACAGCAAAGACTCCCTATCGTTTTCTGTAATGTAACATTAACATTTGTTTCCTTAATCGATTGTGAAGTCCATGTGTTCTGTGCTGTCTCTCGTCTTAGCAGATTATATTTTCTTCTAATTTTTGCTTTATTAATAATAATTTCGCCATTTTCTGAAATAATAACGAACCATTTCACAATGACGCATTTTTTCGGATAAAAACTTTTTTACCAAATATGAAAATCAATTACTATTATGTGCGTATCTCTTTTTTAACGAATGCTTCGAAGAAATGTTTTACGAGAAAACTTCAAAAAGGTAGAAAATCTAATCGCGAATCACATAATCAAAATAAACTTCTTCGTTAAGTAAACGAAATGAGAAATATTTAAATTGATTTAATCATATTTTTTTATGGTTGCAAGAAAAAAAAAGTTAGCAAAAAAAAAAGAGAAAGCTTTTCTGAGAGAGGGATTTAGAGAACGCATAAGTTATTGATAAATTTTATTAGAATCTTTACATTCGTGAATTATTTACAGATATAATTGCATATGTATATATATTTATATATATACTATGTATATGTATAATTGTAACTAACATTATGGTTTCGAAAAGAAAGACTTCCTCGAATTTTTCGTGACAATACTGAAGAGGCTGACTTCGGAGTGAACTACCGCCAAAGCCGCACGAGAGCATACAGCTTCACTTTTAAAAGTTTTTGACTTTTCTTGTGTTCTTCGTGAAGAGAGAACGCTTTTATCAATTAGAAACGTTACGATAGAAAAACGGTATAAAAAAACCACTAGTAGTCTTCAAGCGATGATATGCGGAGTACGATTAAAAAATTGTTTCGACACATAGTTGCCAAGTGAACCAATATATTCCTTATTTCTTTTTTTCTTTCGCGTGTAATATAGTTTGATTGCGACATTATTAAATTGTTAGTCTGCGAGAAAAAGATATTCTTGCAGGTTTTATTCATATTTTTCGATAGACGTTATTATCAAATTAAAAAATATTGACTAATTAATTAATCTGACTTCTCTTAAAAGCTCTCTTTAAAGCTCATACTTCTTGAACATAAAACAATTAGACGAATATCTGATTAATAAATTATTCTTTCCGACGTATTTCTAGCATTGCACGCTTCGAGGACGGTACAAATTCGGAAACAAGATCCCACAGTTCGCATCGTGTGACTTGCTGACAAAAAATAATTTTTAATACGCGTGTAATATTAATATATAAACTAATAAAATTTTCAGTGCTTTAGATAATCGCAATAGTATTCGCAATACAAAAATTATAATAATTTAGTGTCATATAGGAAAAGTATTACTATTTTTGCACATTATAAAAAATTATAATATATTTTCCGTAAAGATATTTATACTAACAACAATTGCTGTGAGTATATAAAGATATTTTTGCACAATTTAATGCCCGATGAACCAGTATCCGGTTAAACCTGTTAGAAAATCAAACACATAAATTATTTTGTGCACGAATTATCGATCACATTGTAGTTATAAAAGAAAAAATTAGTCCCTCCGCAATCAAGCCTCTTGCGCCAAAGTCTAATAACTGATTCACCGATTGATAAATAATAATAATAATAATAATGATAATGAGATATAACGAAGCAAAGCGAATTAATTGATATAAAACTATTCGATACATTACGAAACTAATAAATTAATAATAGTATATTTTGGCGAGACCTCTCAAAGTCGAATACAAATTTTCGAATTTTATTGACTATCGAAAGTTTTTATCGCGATTTCGCAATCTCTTGCGACAAGAAAGCGAATAAGAAAAATGCGAACGATTATAAGAAGCGATAACAAAGTCACGTGCATCAAAATCAAATTTTCAGTTTTCTGAAATTGAAAAAACGATTTTACGACGAATGATTTTATACGGGATTTGTTGCGTAAAACAACACGCAACGGTTACTACATATTACGGTTCGCGTTTTGCTTTCTCCCAGATTCGATAATCGTCATTCGTAAAAATCTGGTGTTATGCAGTCTTCTATACAGTATTTAGCATCTCGAATTTCTATCAAAAAACGAGATAGGTCATTTTTTTGTTTTCTAAGAGAATTCAATTACGTCTAATAACCGAATTTCACTAATATCTAAACGTCAGAAACGCACGTGGCCCGAGTGTGTTATCAGATGTGACAGATAGGCAGATCTTTTGTTACAGATAACATAGTTATCAAAATTTCAAGAGAAGAAAATTAATCTGCAAAAATCAAATAATTTTATTTGACTTTTATATGCACACAAGAAATGTGCAAATTTCGAAAATCAGAAATATGAAAAAAGTCAAGAACGCGACAAAGCTTTTCCTCTGAGGCAAAATTTCTACGTGCGTTTCTAAGGTCAACGTGCACTCTTAATGCTAAACGAATGAATTCATACATGTTTTGCTGCCAGATTTATTGACGTGATATAGACGGGTGTACATCTGGGCCTCAATGGAGCGAGTTTAATTATAAATCAAGAATGTAAAAAAATGTGTCTAGAGCTTACATTCGTCAATAGTTATTAAATCTGCAAATAGCGCGAAAATTTGCGCATAGTCTCTCATAATCGAATATAAATGCATCGCGTTAATAAACATTTCCTCAAAAACGCAAAAGAATAATAGTTTCTCCATGCGATAAGCTCGCACAAATCATATCTGACAGAATTGTCAATAAATTTAACAATTATACATAAAATCAAAAGTTATAAATTAGTTCTGTTTTTAATGAGACAAGTTGAGAGACATAACGATAAAACTAAATGGATACCCCACTTAATTCAAGTAAAAGTTTAATAGTTTTCTATTACAGATAAAAGTTTAACAATTTTCTTCTATAAATCGTTTCCTTCTTAGGAAATAAAGATTACAAAAAATCCAGGTAAAAAATTATATGTAACAAAAATTACTCTCAATATGACATTTCGAAATTAAAAAAAATAATACAATGGAGACAGAGAAGATCAATTATTCTCTGAATGCATAGTAGTATCCATTCAATTTTTTTCCTGCGTATAATGGAAAATATGAAAGCTCCATGTAATCATTAATTACCGCGAGATGTACGCTAACGAGTCATCGTTAGCAAATTCCTCGAAGCGTTCGCTACAAAAGAAAACGAAAACAGATCGGAACCAAAACGGAAGCATTCGTTTGATCGTCGTCATTGTCGTCTTCGTTTCCAAGCGAAAGAGATGCACATATGTTACGTTAGGAAATCACATTTTTAAAACTCAAATGGATAGGTATTGGATAAGTTTAAGTATTCGAATTTGATTTAGTAGGGCAACGAGAATTATCTATTTTACATTTGCCTGTCCTTGAAAAGACTGCGATAACTTTCTTCATCTTACTCGCTTCATTCTTTTTTTTATCATGCTATATATATTTGTGAGTTATAAAGATAAAAAAGATTAATTGCCGCAATAGAAAGAAAGTCACATAATACAATTTCTTTACGCTTCTCGAAATCACAGTTACTCTTGAATCTACTATTAATGATATTTGGATTACTATGCACAATAAAGAAAAAGATTTGTTTCTTTCGCTTATGTATTGTTCGACAAATCAATATTTTTCGTGAATCATCGATAAATATTCTGCTGTACATTAGCGATGGAAACGAAGACGAAAGCGAAGTTTGCGATTCCAAAATTGTGTTCATCTACAAAAATTTCTGTCAAAAATAACGACTGGAATTTTTATCGCTTTTTAGGTAGGTAATACAACCTATTTAATAATTTCTCGAAGTAGTCGACTATATCTCTTACAGATACCCATAACAAATATTTAAAAAATTTTCTGAAACTTTCTTTGGCTTTTGAATTTGCAAATATGACTCGAATTTTAGAATCGCATCCTTCGAGTAACTTGCACATTATAAATATTTTTCCGCATTTCTCTGTCGTCTTACGCCAATAGATCCCGCTTTTTGCTTTCGTCGAGAGTACGCCATACACACACACTATCGTTTATTTCTATAAGCTTGTATAAAAAAACGAATCCTTTTTGTTTATTCT